GGGGGGGGGGGGGAAGAAATGCGGATTAAAGGTTATGGGTGAAGACGAATGCGAATACATTGAGATGAAATAGACCCTGCCTGTCACTCAGGATTAGGCGTTCATTGCTACGAAAAAAAAAAAAACAGTAAATGGAGATGCGAGAAGCCATGCCAGCATCTACTTCTACTTTGGAACTTCGTGTTAATATTGCGTCAGTGTACAGAGAATCCCGTAAACGATTCTGAACATGACATCGCCATCTCAGTTCATCTTAGCAGGAATAACATCACATCGTTGTGGAATCTAAATACTTCCTGAAATTCCACATTTGATGATTGAGGAAACAGTACATGATACGCTGCTGACTTGGCTCGCAGGTGAGTCTTTCGAGTTGCCGCAAAATGCCAATCGTGTACAAGTTGAAGGCCATAGAAAGCATGAAAAATAAAATATCACATCCATGTGCGTAACGTAGATGTATTCGTATCCACGCGAATATGGAACGATTTGAAGATGTATGCATGCATGATTTCACGGAACTCATTTCCGCTTCCACGGCGTCCTATTATCGCTCGAAGGCTGCATTTAAAACGAAATCCAGTGGCGTAGCGAGGGGGGGGGGGGCTGGGGAGGGCTTCAGTGGGGGGGGGGGGGGGGGGGGGGGGGGGGGGGGGGGGCTTCAGCCCCCCCAACTCAGGCCGGAATGCGTCCACCCCCCTCCGACGAGGAGAAATTAGCTCCCCCAACGTTCCGCTTATCCCCCCCATTAGCCCCACCCCCCAACGTTCCTCTTACCCTAGCGGAAAACCTGGCTACGCCACTGACGAAATCTCTTCGCACTCTCCAAGGTTTTCCCAAACGCCCGAAAGGAAGAACAGGAGGAAAAATCTCCGACGTTACCTGTCCCGGCGACCCGCGAAGAAAGTGACGTCGTCCCCGATGGAGCAGTTGAACTCGTGAGCGGCGAGCAGGCGTCCGTCGGGCCGGGAAGTCGTCTCGAGGATCACCTTCACCCGGCCGTCTTCGTAAGCCGTCAGCTCCTCCATGTACATGTCTCCCTCCTCTGGAGTACGATTCAGCCGCATTCTCGAGTAGATTATGTACCCGGAGGGTTCTCGCGAGCATAAACATAGCGTGGATGGAAAAAGTGGGGGCACGGGATGAAGTAGGGGGGGGGGGGGGGGGGGGGGGGGGGGTGGGGGGGCAGGGGGAGCACGTACCCCCCTCTCCTGACCCCCCGAACCTACGCCGCTGCTCGCGAGCAGGTAATAATGCAGGTACATGAACTTATTCTATCGATAGCTAGTACACGTCTGGATTCGAGGAGACTCCATCTTCCGGAGGCGCTCGTAATCGATATAGATTTTTGAGGAACCCTGCCAGGGCCTACCTGTGATGTGGTCGTGGGAGAAGCCGAAGAACGGGGTCCCGAACACCGACTCCTCGTTGTAATACCCCCACAGCACCAACCGATGGCTCTCCGCCTGATCCGCACACATATCATTACTTCACATCCATTTCGGGTATCAGCATCACCGGTACAAGGCTATGAGTCGTACTAAATTACTGCTTAAAGGCAACTATCCGCACTTCCCGTTCCTTCGACGTCGGTTCGAAATAGTTACCCGAAGGACTTCGTAATACTACGATCGTGCCAGAAATTTTGTGACTCACGAGCAGCATCGGTTCGGAGCTCCCAGACCGGCAAAACTCGAGGTCGACGAGCGCTTGGAGTTCCTTCCCGGCCGTGAGGGCATCCAACGCGCCTGCGAACGTCGCCACCGCCTCCGGGGCCGTCTCTACGGTTCGAACATTCCGTCAGCTCGTTTAGTACCTTTCGCACCGCGACGAGGAATAAAGGAGTCCGCTTACTCTCGGCGAGGAAGACGACGCCTTCGTCCATGTGGCAATCGTAACTCTCGGGATCGGAGTGCTCCTTGTCGAAGTCCACCATGTCCCACACGGCCGTGAGCACCTGCATTCGGCTCAAAATGCTTGTCACCGTTTACCAATCGGCAATCGAAAGAATCTTTGAGCGAAACTCATGCATCCCGTTTCCGTATTGCAAGCTACTTCGACAAAATGTGCGTGACATGCAGCTGGGTGATTCAAAGCAAACGCCCCATCGGTTTTTTTTTTTTAAATGGGAGAAGGGTAGTCACTCTCATGCAACCAATAAATGGCAAGTTAAATAAGAGATCGACATTGGAGGGCTAGGAATGAGGAATATAGGTTTTTTTGTCAGTGCCCATGTCTAATCTACGCAATGGCTGTTACAAAATTAACCCAATTACACTGCAACTAAGTCAATGGTCTGTTCTCGTTAATCTCAGAATTCAACTAAATATGGTGCGCAATCGGAGTATCGACACAGTCAAAATCTTAGGCCTCTGTGCCAACAGAGGGGCGAGAAAGGGAGTTTAAATCTGTAACTGGGCAGTGGCGGCTCGTCATGGTGGGCACGTTACGCCAGGCCTAACCAGGACCACGCAAGGAAGAGAGCACCGAGAGCTACTGTGGATTTAAGTTTTTTTTTTTTAACTCTACTTCAACTTCTACATGACAACGTTTTGGAATGCCTCCAGTGAAAATAATATTTGAGCTTCTTCGTGAGAGTCAGTCAATTTGGTACTAGATACGAGTGCCAACCTCTCCCTCGCCAAACCTGCTCCCATTCACTGGGAGCCTGATGGAATAGAAAAGAATTAAACGAATGTCGACGCCGAAGCAACGCCGCAGCTACGGCGCACCGACGCAAGGAATTCGAAGGAGCCAAACTTTTTTTTTTTACTGATAGCCAATGAGGAGTTGTTGCCGTACTTACGGAGAGCCAATAGGAACGCCGACTGATATGGCGGCCAGCACGAGCTCTGAAAACCTGAATCAGCCTAGCCTATAAGATTGACTCTAGGTTTGTGTAGTCGCTTATGGTCTCAAAAATGCCCTTCCAACATGTATCGTTATCGTCATGTCAATACCAGGCCTACCACCAGTTTGTGTGATAGGCGTAGCCCGCTTAGTCTTTGTCAAGCAAAGCTGGATACACAAACTCCTGTTGAGGTCGGCCTACGTTTAAAGGAACGGGAGAAGGGGAGGGGAAAGAGAAGCTTGGTCTTTGCCTAAGGTTGACATAAGACCTTAGTATAAACCACGCTCAAAATTAGGTTGTGCCGACTAAGATAATGGGACCCTTAGGTTCGGCGTACACCGTTTTCGGATTGAATTCGTACCTTCCCTGTAGTGGAAGATGAAGAAAACACAATTTCCAAAAAGTTCTGCTATATCAGATGATAGTAGTGGCCAACTAAGATCTCTCTCATCCAAAGCTTTCGGTTATACTGCTTCCCGCAGTGGACAATTGTAAAGGAGCAGGAGTAAGAGCGCTCGTCTCACGTACTCTGCCGTCTTCATTCCAGCATCGAACTGAGATTGGTACAATCTCATTGTCTGCTCACGTTCACCATTGGTTCTCCGTAACTGAGCGCTGGATAATGCGAACGAGAACCTACGTCGCACTATGTGAATGGGCCTATAGGCAGGAGAGGAGGTCTGAGTGCTACGTTGCCAAATCTATGCAGCGTTGCCAGATATTCTTCCACGCCCTACTCCTTCCACTCCGATGAAATTAGAATCTTGCAAGACTAGTTTTTCAGTCTCGTTCATCTGCTTCATCCGCAAGTATTTAATCAGCACCACGACCCACGCAGGTCTCTCTCTTCCGAAACATTTCTTCTCTCCAGCCCCCGTGCTTTCCCCTGGCAGTCATTTCTACAATGGGGTTCGTGTAGCTGGTGTCATGTTCCCCTAACCAATCATCTGCGGACATGACTGTTAATATGAAAAAAAATTGCATTAATATATGTTATATAATAATATAAGCCTGAATGTAAAAGGAAAAATGTTAATACTTGAATAGCAAGAATTCATTAGCTTGCATGCGTTTTCGGTCATAGTACCGATGATTAAGTGAAGTGATGAATGGTGATAGTTATATTTTTTACCGTATAATATACTTCGCTAATACAAAATGATAGAGATGGGAAACATCATGACTGACTTAGTTTTTAGTGTTTAGATGTAGTTTTTCTCCAAGAAGTGATGAAAAGAGACGGGAAACTCTAAAGAGCGGAAGGCCCACGCCAGATCTACAAATTTTACAAAAACAAAAAGACAGGGCGAAAACTCGTGCTTTCCGCAAGGTCTGGTGCGAAAACTTGAAAAATGGGAGGTGCAGAGAGGGACGATTCAGAGGCAGTTGGTCCGGAAACAAACCAATGACCTTTTTGATTTGTAATTAAAATTCTTCGTTTATGCCAATCGGGAAACTAACGTCTAAAAAAAATGTATAAGAGCATCACTAAAACCTTTAATAAACTTAAAATTAATATTTAAGAAGCAATTCAGAGCAATGATAGTTGCAGGAAAGAAAGAAATAAGCATATCCCACTCCAGAAGCTGACGACTTGACGAACGGAAGTTCGCAATAAGAATTGATGGTGAAGGAGAATTGCCAGAACTGGCAATTCGGTAACAGGCCTAAAACAGACGAAGCCCAACACTTTGAAGTGGCAGAGCGACGATTGCCAGGACTGCTCTCCCGACGACATGTAAATGAACGACTCTCTCAGTTCAAGTTTGACTTAACCTCTACACTTGACAGTCGAAGCACTCCACTTCGTTGAAGACGCACGCCAAAAAATAATTTCCCGGGTTTCCGTCACACATTTTATTCATCCTGGGCTTAACCCGGAAGTGTAGTGAGAGTCCCATTTTTCGGAGGGCCTAAAAAATCTTATGTAAGCTGTGGGGAAGGGAGGGGAGGAGGAGCCAGGACAGCCCTCCTTCCCTGGCTACGTCACTGGCCTACCCTACAGCATGAACCACGAGCCGCCACTGCAACTGTGTCAAAAAAATGGCCTCAGGCTTCCGCATTTCAACCACTCTACGCCATTGATGTAATTGGTAGGACCACTAACTTGTAATTAATAATCTACTCTCCAATTTCTGTGGGATGGGAAGAGATAATCAATGCTTCGCGGAGAGTGCGATACTTGGAAGGAATTAATAGAGAATGATTTTATAGCTGACCTTGATGGAATTGTCGGGGAAGATGTTCATGTGGTAGCTGTTCACGGCGAAATTTCCTCCTTTCCCTGGGTTCCTCACGACCACGCTATCCACGACCAAGATGAACTCGTTCGGAGTCCCTAGTCACGATGCCGTCGGAAGAACGCGTTGAGAATTATCCACATCCCTCCCCCCCGCCCACTAGGGATGACGGAGGTGATTCCTTGCCTTTGTTGACGAAGTAGAAGTCGCGGGTGGGATACCCGGCCGAAACGCGGAAGGGAGGAGGTTCCCAGCAGAGATCGTAGGATATCACCCGAGTAACGTCCTTCCCAGTCAGCAGGGCCTTCTTCAGGTCCTTGTAGGTCTTCAAGGTCGAGCTATTTCAGTCAAAATATGCACATTTCCCCCCTGAGCGTGGTAGAAGGACGATCTCAAAAAGCTGTGCTGCCGAGTTTCGTGGTTTCGAAATGCTATTTCACCCCTCTAGAAGGAACCTAGCGCTACTATAGAATGTACAGCACCGGCTAAATTATGAATGAGTATTGTCCAAATCTGTATTCATTATTATTTTCTCGTGCTGTAGAACCTGCATCAGGAAGAAGTTTCTAGCAGACTTCTTGCCTGAGACTTTACATAGTCTTTTTGCATTCATGTGAGACATAACTCATGGAAATACCTCTAGTCTTTCCGTTTTCTAGACACTTTGTCAACTTTCCAGGAAATTCTTAACCCATTCGTGTCAAACGACAGCTGGTACGGTGCTAGGACAAAATGTCGTAGGAAATTTTTTTTTTACAAATGTAAACGAAACGTATTATCGCTTGACAAAATATTCGGCTTACGTAATTAAATATGCTGACGATCATGTTGGAATCGTGTGTGGAGGCCAAGAAATGGACCCCAAGGGTGACCCACTAGCATTTCAGAAGAACCTTGTCAACGAACATACAGCCAACATGATAACCATCTACAGACAATAGGTCATTGAAACCATTTCAGGAAGTCTATACGTTCCCACGCCTCTTACTTTCGGCAAGTTATTTGGAAGAGGAATTTGAATGTTTTCTTTGAAGGGTTGATATACATCCTGACATTTCTTGGTGAGCGGGAGAGAAGCAACCAGAGGAAAAAGATTAGTTTTCCTCTTTATCCAACCTAATCCTCCTGTTTTTTAAATGCCTGATGAATGAGACTCCTACTCCCCCGCTGAGATGCCCCTAAGCTAAAAAGGTCATTCAAAATGGATTAAGAAACCAAATAGCAGTGCCGCTATGACGGATGAAGAGCCGCACGCCGATTTCCCATTCCATTATGGAACCAATACCACCGTGTTCTCCATGACCTACCAAGAGGCAAAAACACAATGGAGGGATGGCACCAACCATGCAATCCCTCTGTCGGGATCGCCCATTACTGCGCGCTTCGCTCAGAAGCTGCAGAAAGAGCAACATTTGCAGGTAGTAAAAAAAAAAATCGGCAGTATGAGATGAGATTACCACCCCCGAAGAAAAGGAAGAAGTATCAACGAACAAATGAGGCTCTCAACACAATGGTAGCTGACTTTGCTAATCGGGATGTTGTACAATTTTTGTCTGACGCTGGACGCGTCGTCATCATTAACGTCCTGGGATTGAACTTCACATGTCATGTGATTTCCCCTTCTTGGACTTCTTATTTGAATCCAGGACAAAATGGCCCCGGACATTTTGACCCAAATGAGATGTAGGACAAAATGGTCCCTCCGGTAAAAATGCACGATGACAGCTCATCAAGAGTTAACGACAATTTTAATAATTGCGTCACCTACTTATGACTACGTTCTAAAATTAAGTTCTTTATTATCTTGAAGCTTGAATGCATTGGGGGCAATGATTCAAGATGTTTATTTTCATCATATCTTAAAATATTATTTTAAGATATGATGAAAATAAACATCTTGAATCATTGCCCCCAATGCATTCAAGCTTCAAGATAATAAAGAACTTAATTTTAGAACGTAGTCATAAGTAGGTGACGCAATTATTAAAATTGTCGTTAACTCTTGATGAGCTGTCATCGTGCATTTTTACTGGAGGGACCATTTTGTCCTATATCTCATCTGGGGTCAAAATGTCCGGGGCCCTTTTGTCCGGATACCCCTATTTTGAATGAATAATATCAGCTTGTACTTGGTACTCAGCTTTTTCCTGACGGAAACTTCCTCCCTATGCCGTTTCCAGTTCAGCCTCGAGCCATATGCGTATAAAACACCAGAACCACCATCTTCTCAGCGGTGACATATTTTCCTGGCGACATTTCGTCAGGCGAAAATTTGTCTGCTCACGGCTGGAACGCATGGTCCAATGTTCTCCCGCTTAGCGTATGGCCAAGACAGGCATAGGTTTGAAGGCATCGCACGTCAGGCTATGGTAGCACAATTCTTGGCCAGATAGGCTAAAAAGTCACTCGATGCGGATGGGTTAATATATTTTTCAATATTGTGCATAAGTAGCGAAAATGATTTGAAGCTATAGCACAGAGGTGCTCGTCGCCTGTAACGACTCCCGCAGACTCCATATTCGCCGTCAGCCAGTACGGCAAGAGAAAATAATTAGGAGGTGTTGATGAGGATTAAGATTGAAGTTGCATTCCGAGAACAGCACGGGTGCGAACTGAACCTTTGTCGGTAGCGACCACTCTGATCCTTTCTGCTGCGATCGTAGACCGTGACTCCGGCATTCATGGTACAGGTGAAGGACGAATTGTAATGGATGGAATAATCCACCGCATTCATCTCCTGCATTACATAAGTGAAGACCGAGTTGGAATCCAGATATCCCACGCTCCTCACGAAGAAAGGCTTCACTAAAATGGCGACGGTGGAACCAAATGTAACGGGTAGAAGCGTGACGATCTGTGTGATACGGAGGAATTCCGAGATCCTGCGAAGAAAATTGTCTCACCTGCCATCGAGAAGCTGGAGAAGACGAGAACACCTTCGTCGACGAAGTGCTGCCATGGCGCCACTGCCATGCTCATCACCTGCAGTGAGCGTCGGTTGCGCGCGATCAAACTTATCGGATCATCTACGACACGAAAGCGTTCTTACTGCTTGTTCGAGATTCACGAGCTTGTCGGCGACGCCACAGGCTCTGAAGTCCATGACCAGCTGGACGCGATGACCCAAGGTCAGAGCATCGATCACATCGTCGAACGTCTCCAAAACGGCATGGCCTGCGGGTGAAATGCCTCCCGAAAAATAATCAACCCCCGTTTGCGACAATTTTCGTTGATTTATGACGCGACTCTGGTATACTCCTGTTGGAGCAGCCCATTCCTCTTCGAAGCCATGCTATGGACACGAACCTGCATCCCGTCGACGAGAACAATGCGACGATATCACAGGGTAAGGAGCTTACAAGAGGAAAATATAAAAAAAAGAGACATAGCAGACAGGTGATTGACCCCATCGCGTGCTGCCTGGCATTCCCTGATGCCTTCGAACGCTTCGACCAAGAGCCGCTGCGAGTAGAGGTGTCATTGGTTCGTAGATGGAAAACCGGCAACACTTCGCTCCGCCGCGCTAAGAAATTGAAGCCATCACCTTCCAATCGTCCTAGCATCGCAGAGGCAGGAGGTTCGAACCGTCCTCTTGCCTGTTAGGCCTCGCCTTAAATAGGCGCACAAAATCAAGGCATATCTTGAAAATGATCTGAATCTCTATGACATCGAGATCTGCTCCTCTAGCCCGTGATGCCATAACATTGGCAGACTCAGATCAGTTGTTGATCGTCGTTTTGCCTTTGCCCTTCGTTTCCCCGATTTGCTTCCGATCTCAATATATTTTTTGTCATTTTCCATCTTCACTCGGACCAGTCAGTACAAACTCGGAAGTATCCCAATATGGAGATGGGCGTTTGAGTGACGCGTTACAGCCCGATGCTTTGTCGCCATGTCCGCGGTTCGACTCTTCCAACATCGTTCCTCCAAGCTCCAAAGGCATACATTTATTGGCCTCTCTCCCAGAGGGGAAGTCAAAATTGCAGTCGAGAGGGCGTCCGAGGCTGGGACCAGACCATCTCTTGGGTCGGGCACGAACATCTCGCAAAGAACATCCAAACGCATTTTCATATTGAAAGTCTTGAAATGTTACGGAACCTCGACACCCGAGTTCGTCCTAGTGCGGACAGCCTATATCCTTGAAGTAAGCAACCCCCTTATGGCTCTCATCCCTAACTGCCTCTCAAACCTCTTCTCTCGAACTAATTCAGAAGCGTGCTCTGCGTCTCATCCTGAGTTCCAGTTACATCTCATACGAGGCAGCTCTTGCCTCCCTCAAACTTCTTTCTTTGCAGGAAAGGAGGGCTGTCCTCACTGCCAAATACAGTCAACTCTCGATAACTCGAAGTTCAAGGGAAATTCGAGTTATAGAGGTTTCTTAGATTCTATTCCCTACATAATGGTTCATACATGCATACAGCAATGCAAAATGTGTAATACCTACTCATTTTAGCATAATCGCTTGACGACGATATTTTTCAAAGGCGCGAATGCATCGAAAGTCTCTTGTGCCAAGCCAGACGTGACCTGAAGAAAGCTCTGCCAAGTTCCAATAGCATTAGATTGCAGTCGTGGTCGACGGCGACGTCCACGGTCACTGACCGGTTGACAGCAGTACTGATAAGGTACAAAGTCGCCGTCTTGACTTTCCCAACTGATCAGAGTGGGAACCGAAGGCGTGAATCATCGCATTCTTCGGATAACCGAATCTGCAGCGTGTAATTATAATAAGTGTAATTATATTGGTGGGTCGTTCCATACAAACTCATCCAACTTAAGTATAAAATGGCGCCCGACCATCTCGGAATTCGAGATAAAAACTCAAAAGCGATTGCAGTGACTCTAACAATCCGGTAAAAAAAGAGAAGAATCGCCTCCATGGGATTAGCGAGATATCAGCCAGGAACTTCAGGAGGGAACGGCAAAATGTTCATCTTAGAACCGGTTCATCGCACGGAGGCGTGCAATAGCTTCAACCGGAGGTCTTCGATAGCTGAAAAATTCGCTTCATACATAATTGGAGTTTGAATGAGATTTCAGTATGATAGCTGAGTTTGAAAATGTGAAATTCGGGTAATTTGGACCCCCAGACATCCCTATGTGGCGAGGGAAAAGGCAAATCTCTCGTTGCAGTAAGTTTTACTCCTTTTTTTTTAGGCGTGTTGGAAAAGCAAGAGACTTGCTTAACTTCCACCACATAGACTTGCGACTTGCGGAACGCTCACGTACGATGTCGTCTCGTGAGGCACGCAATAAAAATAAGAAAGTAAGTGCAGCACTTATCGCAAACTTTATGAAGTTCGTTTTCGATTCCAAATATTAGCTCTCTCAAAAGTCTGAAATTTAAAATGAAAAGAAAGCTGGGAGACTGGACTGAATCGACTTAACGTTATTTTTCAAAAACTGAACCGTTGTTGGGTATCAGGTTCATGAAAAAAACTTGGGAATTTTTTTCTGGTCAAGAAGAAAAAGTCACGAGGCTTTCATGAGGATGCGAGAGAAAGAGACTTGAGAAACATTATGGAGCGTCCCTTAAATTTAATGATAGTCTTGAATATTATTAATATATGATATAAAAAGAAATTGTAAGACCCTCGGGGCGCCGTTCGGCTACTACCAAGCGGTTCGGTTCAATAGCTCTACAAACGCCAAAAGACGCCATCCAGACGCTCTGAGACGAGACGGAAGATGCAGCCAACCTGGTGGGCGGACCAGCCCTGGGGACCCTTGGGCGCTGGGGTGGAGGCAGAAGAGGAGGAGGAAGGAGGAGAAGCGGGACACCCAGCCGGAGGGACTCATCGCGATTCTGGGGGATCTGAGAGGGGGAGGGGGAGGAGCGCCCCTTTTCAAAGATTGGGGTTCGAGGGGGGTCGGTCTTCTGCGACTGCGAGGAGTCCTCTGGGAATTGTTGCACCTGGTCGTCTTCATCCGCTTTCCTAATCCTCATGCTTGCGCGTTTCCCATGCTCTTTCATGCAAATTCCGCTCGACGCATCTGCAAGGCTTGGGAATTCAGGAATCCCGATTCCTTGAATCGGGAATCCTATAACGATGGGAAAATCCGTGCACATCAATGCAGTCCTCTTCGAATCCGTATTAATCGTGTCGCGAACTAAAGGCTGCGGATTTGGACAGACACGGTTCCGATAAACCGAGCGAACGAGAGCGATCACCTCTTTAAGGCGATAGCTCGACACGTTCGATCCCAATCGACGTAGCGGCGAACGACCGAATGAAGAAACCCGCCGCAATTTCCCCTTCCCTAATCTCATTTTATTTTCTCTCGGACGAATCTCCGATCGGCCGCCGTCAGTCCCCGGGGAAGAGAAAGGGCTCGAGGACGGGCTCGGGGAGGTCGGGATCCCTGTGCTTGAAATAGCTCTGCATGGCCCGACAGTTCCCGAGCAGCGTCGTGCGGTACATCTCCTTGTAGATGGCGGACGGGATGGCGTAGGGGAGCTTGTAGTCCAGGTACTCCGTTCCGAGGAAGGCGCATTTTCCGGGGTCGCTCGGCAGCTCCTTCACGGCGAAGCAGTTGTGTTTCATTCCGCACCTGTTTCGGGAAAGCGAGTCTTTCTGTTTCGCGGCTTTTTTTTTAACGGTGATTCTCGGGGGCTCGCTCCTTTCCGCTTCCGGAGCGCTTCTTCGCGATGGGGGCGAGTCGTAGAGCGACGCAGACCTACCGAGAAAGAGTTCTGCCTCTTCGACCTCTAGGGAACGAAAAGGGATAAGCGTGACGTCATTATCGTGGACGTCGAGTTCGTATGCAAATCTCCTTACTCATCGGTTAACATAATTTTCACTCCTTCGTTAGCGATGATAATTTTTTGCACAAAAGAGTGCCGTCTCGATGCCGTTCTCAACCGACAAAGGAAATGCCAAAGGAAAGCTTTTGCAGCGCCGGATGCGCGATAACGCTGACGCTGCAACCGTGCGATCAGAAAGAGAAGCGCGAATCACGCGCGACGAGCGCCTTCCGGAAGGGGAACGGCCCAACCCACGTGACCCTTGCCCACCTCACGTGACCCTTGACCGGCGGGAAGGCGTCCAGGGTGACGGACTCCCAGGCGTGAATCACCGATCTCCCGTCCGGGGATTCCTTCACCTTCGTCAGGTTCACGGCGTCTCTCGGGGAGACGAGGTCGGTCACGCCCAGGTTCACGTGACCCTTCAACGCCGCGTAGATGAGCCACGTCTCTTCGTCCAACAACTGCAGTATATTGAATAAACAATTATTTTTTTGCTATCTTGGCGTCGATTCGGTTTCAAGTCGAATACTTGAAAGAAATAATATCCGGAACTTTTCATCAATTATATAAATGTATTGTACATACAAATGTAAATATTCCATTATAAATTAAGATTAATATCAGGGCTGTCACGATAGATCGATGCATCGATACCACTATCGATAGTTTTTTTTTACCATCGCGATGCACCGGAAAAAGATTTTAAAGGGGAAATGTCCCATCGGATTGCGGCGAGCACGGTACAATACGGTCCATCTGTGGGGAAAAAAAGAGGCGGCGTGACCCGTATGGGCGAGCAATTTTTCATCACGATCAAATTCGCGAAATGCTGCACTGACTATATGAAAGACGGTAAGGAAAGAAGTTGGATCGGAGACAGGAAGTGGGAAAAGAGAAGGAGAGAAGACCGAGAAGATTTTTTTTCCCTCTTAGGTTTCAGTCTTCGACTCGACCTCATGATACTATGAAAGTGGACCGATCTTGTACTCCCTTCATTTCGAAACGTACATTGGTGGTACTTTGCCCTCTCTAAGTGTTTCGGGAACCGCCGATATGGCACCATCGGCAGGTTTGCTATCTGCCGGTGTCGATGTCCAACAAAGAAGACCGTGTAGAACGAAGAAAATGAGAAAAAAACGACACGAACGGGCTTGGCAACTGATTCTTAATGGCAATAACAAATTAGGGCTGTCCTGAGACATCCATCGATGAATGAATTTCATCCTCGATATTTGGAGGCATGGTAGGTTTCATTACTCGTTGCGAAGGTCATATCTTCCTCCCACAGCCCCTCTCCCCCCCCCCGATCACAAGCGCATACATGCGCATAAAATAGTTCTTAAAAATCTTGAGATGAAACGTCAACTTACAGTAGTCCATTTTAAAATCTTATCGAATAAATTCATAGGAAATTCTTAGGAAGACACAACTTTCCTCATGGGGAGACTTACATCGCCCAGACAGTTACTCCCACGGTCACTCATTCCATACACCGACTTGGACGATCTCGGACCGAACCCGGAAGTCCAGAGAAAGGAAAGAATCGGACACGGAACCATCCCCGACCTACCTCGATGGTTCGACAATAGCTCAGACCGAGATGCCATTCCTTGATCTCCGACGCGTATCCCGGCGAAAGCAGCGCCTTCCTCATCGATCGGAAAGGTATCTCCAAATACCCCTAATAATATTTAAAGAAAAAATGAGTGGTGGAGGCCCCAAAACACACGAAGATGCGTGGAACGCGGGCCACCCACCATGTACTTATAGACGGTACCGAGCCCAGAGACTTTCTTGCTGAAGAATTTCAATCCGTTCTCGTGCTGAGAAAGCGGTTTCCAATCGGGAGACTCGAGGAGAGCCAGCGTTTCTTCGTACATCTCCTCTCCTCTCTTTATCAACGACTGGACCTGAAACATCCAGGCGAAACGGATGAATCGGGAAGGACCATCAACATCCCTTTTTTTTTATATTTTCGCTTCGAAAGAGCCCGGGAATGCAATTGGATGGCACTTGAGAGGTGCAATGCATCGACAGCAACTGTTTCCCGGAACGCTTTCGCGATGCCAAAAAGAGCGAGCGAATAGCGAAGCACAGTGCAAAGCAAGAAGAAGGAAAATGGCAGGTCTATAAAAACACGTTAGGCAAGCAAGCTCATTCCGGCGACGCCGTTCGCTGCCTCCGATCTGGCCTACATCCACTCGGAACCGAGGAGGGGTGCCCATCGCATATCGCATCGAGTCGCGATGGATGAGAGTGGATGACGACAGACAGAAAGAGGCGAATGCGAGAAAAGTTCCTGCATGAAACATTTCACATTAGGCATGCACATACGAAGGAATGAAAACAGAATCATGCCGTAAGCCAAGGGTGGGCAACGAAACGAATAAAAAAAATCATGCTGTGACGAAACAGAAAAGAAATCTTGATAACGTTCATAACGACATTCACTTGTGCTTCTTCCCTGATACCAAGCAGACGCATTAAAAATACGGCCATTAGCTGCAGCATCCAACACGCTTTCGACTAAATATCTCAGGAGTGGATGTGAAAGCGCTAAGGTATCGATAACAATGGCCACTCCTAATCCAATGTCAACTCCTGAATCATTCGACATGGAATGCAATGTGTCGCCCAATGATAAGCGCAGGAAAACTTTTCTTCAGGGATGGGGAGAAAATTTAAATTAATTTTGTTTCAGAGATGCTCAAATGATTCAGATTCGCAGGAAACCAAGAACATTTCCTCCAGATTGCCTTCTGTTGCAATTATACCGGGTGCCCCCCCCCCCCCAAAAAAAAAAAAATTTCCGAACTTTACACGCCAGCAGAAGGTGTACCATATGAGTTATCGAAAGGAAATTTACAAGCTTTTACAGGCAAATTTTGCAGGTAATGTAACAAAAATGTCATTGAAATTGGTTGTAAACTACGCGAGTAACAATTTTTCTCCAGCGCGATGTGAAAAGAGCGCGTGTGCAAAGGAACACGCCTAAACTCAATGAAAGAACTACTTGATGGGTCCTCCGTGGATGTGTCCTCCTTGGATCACGGGCCGAAGCAGCACGAGGCAGCAAGAGCACTGACACTTGCTCAATTGGCGACTTGTACGGAAGGAGCTCTTACTCATATTCAGAGCGACGAATTTCATTGAAATTTTCCTAAAGCCACCTACCTATATTGTGTATGACAGAAAGTTTCCAGACGATGCATAGCATGGTGTCCCGTCTGCAGCCACACGAAGTTCGGGACTTTTTTTGGGCCACCCGGTATTACTAATTTTATTTTTTATTTTCTGGGCCTTTTCAGAGACTGCCATTCCGTGTGTTTTACCTCACAACCCAGGAGTGAAAGCGGCTTTTATTCAGCGTCAAACCGCCCCCACTCCCTTCAACAGATACATGGAAGAAACTCATAATGAAGTCGAAAGCAGTCTCATTCCACCATGACTTGCAACGTGAGGACGGTCAAGGAACACTCATCCTCTTTCTTTAGCTTCTTTTAGGAGGAAACTTTTAGGGCAGCATGTTCCTCTAGATTTCCCCGGCACAGATACTCCAAGTGACTTCATTCGTTTTTTTTTCCCAGAAGCATTAATTATCTTGTAGCGGCCTTCTACCCGTACATACTCTATACTCTTTAGTTGATGAACTAAGAATAGCCAGGTTCCCGCTGCCAAAATTTGATCTACAGTTCACGATGGAACATGAATGCATGAAAGATATGCCGAGACACAGCGTACTACACCTGCCATCCATGGGTACTGGAACTGACGTTGGCAAAGATGGAACGGTATACTGACTTGGGTTGACGTGTCCAGTGAAACTATGCAGCAGGTGAACGCAGCCACGAAGCGCACATCTCGTCATCACTTCGACTACAATAGATGTTCAAATGAAATGGGACTTTAAGTCGCTACCATAGGGTACCCTTAAACAGCCACTGCCTCCTTTTCATTCGTATCCCTTTAGTGTTAAGACATTTGCGTTCAGGTCTCTCACGGTCATAGGCGTGTCGTTGCGAGGGTCGTTCCCAATCGTAAGATTCCGTACACCCATCAAGATAGCTCCAATTTTCATGTTGAAGAATTCAATCTGAAAGGTGGCCTGCCGATCGGCGTCATCATCACCGTGATGTGTCCGCGATTCGCCTCACGATCGGGAAGACACCTCCTCATTAACCAATCTCATTCTTGGGACA